TCCCTGCGAGAGCGACGGGCTGAGAGACTCCTAGCACACAGCTCAGAAGACAGCAGAAGAGCTCAGAAGAGCTCAGAGCAGGTACAGCTCAAGTAGAACAAGCTCTTTTTATTACAGAAATAATTGGTAAACACCAAATGCAGAGGACGCAAAAGGACTCTGAGTTTCTAGCATGATGCTCAGAAAGCTGCTAACCACGGTGAGGCCTCCTATAGCTGCTCCTCTTCCTTGGTCACCTCCCACTTTGCAGTCTGGGTGACGCAATCATCTTTCCTGGTCTTAAACAGTGAAGATAACTGGGTTTTTTATTATTATTCTGTAGAGAAGGAAATAGGAAGTGTATAGGACTGAACTGCCTGCACCAGTCTGCCATAAATGTTAGCAGTAGATGACAGTGAAGACAACTTATCCCGCAGCTGTCAACTGAATATTAATTTTGAAATTAAAGGTTTAAGGGATCCATAAGAAGGTGAGCAGATCCCAACTCTTCCAAAAGAGCCATGCGAGCCAAAGGGCTTTGTTTGGGCTCATGCTAATTAGCAAACCTGCTCCAAAATTATCAGAAATGGTATTTATTTCTAAACAAACTTTCTGAAAACAAAGGAGGATGCAAAGTATGAATCAAAAGGAGACTCCAGGTCCCTACTGTCCCTTTTCCTACACTCCCTGGGACAGCAAGTCTTCCATGCAACAGCTCTCACACAAAACAATACAGGGCAGCAGGAATACTACCAACAACTCATAGCACATTGCACAGATGAAATGTCTGGATCAAGCACAAGCTAGGAAGAGCATCTAATTTAGGCCATTCACAAGGGAAAAACAGCTTCAGGAGCACTTTGTTACGTACCCCAGAGGGAGCGGTTGATTTAATCTTCAACTCAGAAACAAAAGTTCGTTTGCTGCTCTCCCTAGGAAGATGACCAAGGAAACTTCTCTGCCATGTGCTGACCTCAATAAAAAGTCTGAAAAGAGCACATGTGTCATTAAATCCAAGCTACATTTTTGACACAGATCCCTCCCTCGACGGGTGGCTGCTCCATTTGCTCCCTCTGGCTTTGCCCCAGGCTGCACAACTACGGCTCTGCCAGCATAATTACACACCAGAGTGGGAGATGGAGAGGCGTCGGTACTTCCCCGAAACAACCTCAGCACGAAGGTGACTACTGGTCCAGGCTAATCACTTCAGTCTGCATCACCCTTCACCCTCCCACGGCACCAACCCAGGAGAACTGGGGAAGTGACGAGAAACCACGACACATACCAAGAGCAGCGTGATAAGGCTGACAGATAAGGAGGGCAGGTGAGTCAGTTCAGGAATATCACATCTATCTTCTCCAAGGATTTAAGAAAAAAAAAAAAAAGAGTAAGAGAGAAAGGGAGCAGGTGTGGGGCTACAACCCCACAGGACTCTGCATGGCCCTTCACGCTCCCATGGGTTTCTGGAAAAGGGTTGGTAACTCCACAGTGCTGAGTACAACGGCTCCCTGGGGTGGCAAAAAGAGGTGTTGCAGTTGTAGGCTGTATTTTATCCAGGTGCATCTAGTTAAAGCAACTCTTAGAGGGAGTGGGAAGGGACAAGAGGAGAGTCATTGTACCTATACTGCTCCTAACCCCAAAAGATCAAGTCACCTGCAAAGAGAACAACATGGTCCTGAGATGTGTACAAGACTGGCAATGAAGCGTTTTAGGGAATCAGACATAAACAATTTATAAACAAGCTACAGACAAATACTTTTAACCAGTTTGGAAATAAAAAATAACAACAACTTGAAAGACAAATTGAAAAATTCTGCCTGGAAAAGGAGCACACAGCATGAGATCACAGGATTCAGCAGACTATAAAATAGGAAATGAGACTTACTCTTCCCCTACAGCTACACAAAACCCTCCTACATAGATTACAGACATGCTTGGCAATTGCCTTCCTCCTCCAGCCTCTCCCATTATGGACAAGGCAGGGCTGGTAGAAGATTGAATGCAGAGAGGATATTAGATAAAGCATCTTGCAAAGCCAAGTGTGAAATATTAACAACAGGAGGCAATGGGTTGTGTTTTTATGCAAGATCACAAATTTGGTGCTTAGAGAGTCTGAGATGTTCTTGCACACTGGAATCTCACAGTGCTAGTCGAATGTTTCATTTAAAAAGCTCTTGAAGCCTACTGGAAAATTTCTATCGGTTCCGTTATTTGCTCTATCTTCTCTAACTTTGTTGTTTTTGTTCTTTTTCCTTCCTGCAACACTAAGAAATTATGCATGAATAAAAAGGTTGTTCCTTCCATTCATCTGGCCAGTTTTAAAACAATTCATACTCATAAAGTGGGCACTCTGCAAGCCTGTATTTTCACATGAAATTACCACAATTGTGCACATTGCATCCGAATTACCGGATGCATTTGTACACACAATTACCCAATTTGCACACAGAACTGCAATAACCAGGCAGGCAAAATGGACACGCAGCTGTTCAGCTGAATGGAGCACCGCGCCTCAACTGCATCTGGCATTGGGCAGGTTTGGTTTTAGTAGGTGAAACAGGTCGCAGATATTCCTGGACACCAAACAGCTGCTTTTTATCCAGCACATGCAGCACAGAGAGCAGCATGGCTGGCTGCCCCCACCCTACCTCAAACTTGTCTTTGGAGGAAACTGCCTCCCATTCAGCTACTACAATAGATTCAGACCTTGTTTATCCTGCTGTCCTAGTTGCCCATTAATGGCAACTGCGATGGTAGCTGTGTGATAAGGACATCTATTCAACACTGGACACCAGGCTCCAGGAATAATGATCTCTGCCACTTTGGAGCGTAACTGACACCTGCTGTCACAATCTTGCATGAAAAAAAATTCATGCTCTGAATATCCAACAAGCAGTCAAGGAGAAACATAAGGAGAGGAAGTCTAAGAGAAGATGTAAGGGCCTCAGTAGTACAGGAGCAGCAAAGATGGGGAGCTGGGGGAGAAGGAGAGAAAACACTCGAGAAGCTATGTTATCTATACATTTTTCACTCAGACCCCAGGCTCTGCAAACTGAACTTCATCTCTGGCAACTTCCTATCAACATCTCTGCTCATCTTTTTTTTTTTCCCCAGTCTCAGATACCCAAGCTAATGATTCAGGCAACAGCAGCAAACTGCTCCTGGGCACTAGGAAACACCAAAGGAAAGGACTGCCTGAAAGTCAGATGGGACCACAATCCCCACACACACAATCACCAAGAAGTTTGTAGACATTCATCACAGAGTAAGCTAAAATCTAACGCAACACAGCAGGATGGAGGAGTTCCTACTAAAAGGCTGCACGATGAACTAACATCTGTCCTCAGAGACTACTGGAGGCCGAGAGTTAGGCAAGGCAGTACTAAAGTCCGATGACACACAAGAGGTGTATTTTCAGCTAATAATCAAGCAGTCCCTCATCTGGAGGTACTGGATGGCCTTAGAGTGCCACTTTGTCCTTATTGGGCTGCAAAACAGCCGCAATGCACCTGGCCAACATTAGCTGGAGACGTTACATTTATGATTTTATGGCTGATTTTTTCCCCCCTACCCTCTATCAATTGAGTTCACTGTCTGCATGATCACATCTGTTTATGTTCCACAGACACCTGCATATCTTGAGATGACAGCAACTCCCTGAATGCTGTAATCAGTTATTTCTCAACAGAGGAATTGCCAATTTGGTAAATAAAGCTCATTATAAAAGAACATGAAAATGTATTACAGTTGCCTAACAGAGAAAATTGTCCGGTGCCGCCAAATAATCAGCCCTGGCATCATAGTCTCCCCCCAATTTAGGGCAGCTGAAATAATGACATGCAAATTACTCATGCCAAGGCAACGCTGGATAGGGGCAAGAGGAAAATGAGCAAGAGACAAAATAAGTACTTTTCTCTTCAGACCAACAATAATTTAAAATCTAGTCAGGGACAGACCTAGGTGCACCAAATTTCCGCATGTAGAGTCAGTAGTTTTGCAGCTCTGTAGAACCCAGCTATCCCAAGCAGATCCAAGTCAGCACAGCAGCAGCAGCTAAAGCCCACCCAGTACTGCTACAAACAGATCTGAGGGCACCAAGTATCCTACTCTGTTTTGGAAAACTTGCCCTTCCTCCCTTGGGGACAGCAAGTTTCACCTGCACAGTGATTAAAAGCTGGAATTTTTGCAAGATCCAAGACTAACAGAGATGAGCCATGAATAAGCAAACACTGCTTCTGAGGAGTAAGAGAACTGTGGCATCAGCTCTCCACAAGAAGGAAAGGCATTTTGTTGCTTTAATGAAGATATAAAGCACCAAGTTGCTGCCTAAAGAAAAAGAGACGAAGCAGAGTATAACACAGAAAACAATTCTCAGCCCTCCTCATTCATTTTCATAAACACTACATTAAACTCTGACATGACCTCCAAAAATCCATGTTCACATTCTTCAGAAACTGTCAGATTCAGTCAGAAAGGACACGAGCAACATACACTGCCAGAGGAGAAGCTTTAGCCAAAGAAGTGGAATCAAGTTACCAAGCTAGACCTGCTCCCCTGGTTTGCTGGCAGGTCTTTTGCAAATCTGCCGCACCCACCTCTACGAGGATGAAATGCCAGCCACACACAGCTCCCACCGTCCCTCGGCTTCACAAGGAGAGGGCTCAAAACAGAGCACAAGGCTGAAAGGGATGGTGGTTTATGGCAGATGAAGCAGGAACCGCACACAAGAGCTGGTACAAAGAAAGATAACTTGGGCTCTGCATTCAGCAGGCAAAGGTTTTTTCAGTATGATTCACCAACACCAGCTCCCCTCAGCCAAGACTTTGCACTCCTCCAAGTACTTTCAAATAAGCCAAAGTCATTCAGCCCAGGACCAAAACGAACAAGTTTTGTGATTTATAAACTGTGACTTGAAATATTTCTATTCCTCACACTTGTTTGGCGTTTTTGTTGGCATGTGTATTAGGCAGAAAACAGCAGTTTACAAACTCATGGGACTGAAAGTATCTCACAGCACACAGTGACCATTAAACACTTTATTGTTTATGAGGGAACCTTGGAAAGGAAGAAACGCGCCCACTGGTGTAACCAAGGGGAGCATGCTAGGAACAGTTAATCCTAACAAGCTAGTCAGGGTTACTTCCAAATACTTTGGACCCCTTTCTCCAGAGCAAACGGACAAAGATAACAGCTCTTGAAACTGAGATGTGGATTGGTGAAACCAGGTTTGTGTTGGGCAAGCCTTCAACCTACAAACCATGATGGAAGCACCTGGAGTCAATATGTTTCTTTACATTGCAATACAATAAAAAAGGAAACAGTAGTGTCCCCCTCTCCCTGGACACTCCTCCTAACTCCAGGAACATCCACTGAGACTGATACATGCAGGCAATTAGAAGAGGAATCATGTCGTCTTGGACCGCGAAGGGCAGAAGGCACCAGTTTTGGTCAGTGTCTATCCAGAAGGATGCTGGGGCTTCCAAGGGCGTCTGTGGTCCCTGTCCTCTGCTCTTTGGTGGCTGATGTTTATCTAGAATTAACTAACAGCTCCTGGAGGAAAAACGAGACAAAGGAAAAGGCAGCAAGTTAGTTACGCAGCTGTTAACATGGGACTGTTTCCTTCAAAAATTAAGAAGTAATGTTGGCAGGGTGAAAATCTCACAGAAAAACCATCAGATTTTGCCTGCTGTAAAACACAAGACACTCAAGCGGACAGAGAACTGTAGAAACAAGACAGAAGGTAAAGATATCAATGGTGAGACTGATTCAGTGAACAAGAATATATGGTCAGTTGCAAATAATTCATGCTTATGAATCCAATGCTCTACAGCAGGAGAGAAAGGCCACGGTCTCAGGTAAGCCTCAGAGCAGCTGGGTCACAGGAGTAAGTGTAGCATCACGCTACATCCCAGCCTCAGCAGGACAGGGAAGCACTTTGATTAGCTGCCACCAAACGTGCAAACATCACTCGCTCATCCTGGAACAGGATCAACATAAGAGTGAGTGCTAGGGAGTCAAGAGGAAGAAAGAGGGGGACTCGGACTGCTCTAAGTCCTGACATGTCTGACAGCCTTTAGCCTATTAAGACCCAAACCCTCCTAAAATTCAAAGCAAAATCATGCCTGCTTTGATCCTACAGCAACCTCCTGTTGTCCAACTGATACATCCTCAGATCCTGCAGCATATGAGCTATGGACTTCGGAGGGACAGAAAAAATAGGAGGCTTCTGAGCCATAGGATGGAGATTGCAGAGCCTGCTATGGTCTCTTCCTATTTTTACTTCATCACTCATACAAAGTCAAAGAAATCAAAGCAACAATGCCATCAGCAGTGGATGAGAACACGCCTGGCACCACCTGTAACACCTCTCCCTCTGAGGATCTGGGCTATCGACACTGGACCCACTTCAACACCCAGGTCATCAGCTCTCATGCATCAGCAATGAACTAACTGCTTGTGTAGCTACACGAACAGCAGAACTGCTCAGGGTGAGCCCATCAGCACATTGATTTTTTCCTCATGCTCTGGAGAGGTGCAGTTCCATTTTGCAGAGTAGATAGCATGTCTAGAAGATGCTGCTAAAGCCAACTACAGAAAGACAGCTGAATAGTTAGCTGCACGTGGTCTCACCACCCATTTTTACTAGGGCTGGATTTGAGCTCGGTTCTACTCTCTAGCCCTTCTTAGGAGAGAACCTGTGCTTCCTTGAATGTGAATCAGAAAGAACATCACAAAATAATGATGCTTGGCAATCTCTTGGCAATATCTGTCAGAAGGCCAGGATGTCATTTGGGCTACTTCTGCATAGCAGGCTGATATTTGCTGCCTAACACCTGCAAGGTCAGCACATTCAGTCTACATTGACCATGCGTCTCCAAAGACAGCCCCATCTCTAACAACAATGAACTGAAAAAGCTTCAAAGGACTCAAGAATAAAGAGAAAATTGTTTGCCAAATTATTTAGACAAAGCTTATCCAGAAATCTGACAAATGAACCATCAATATTACTCGACTGGCTCTAATTTCCCAGGTAATTTTTCTCATCATTAGTGACTTAAAAGTTTTGCACAGAGCAATACATTTTAAAAACTCCAATAGCACTCACACAAATTGTAATGAGCGAAGCAGCAACAACTAGCAATCAATTTTGCAATAAAGTAATTTGCTGTATTCACACTGTAACACTTCAGTGAAGTGTCGAGGAATGCTACATTTTGTGAAAAAGCCACTGATGTGGCCACTCTGTGGCTAACCTTTATGGAAGAGAGTAAAACCTTTTGCTTTCAAGTAATTTTAAAGAACATCATGGTTACAGAATTTCATGTTCAAAATCATAACTATATATTTTTACTCATTTCAGGAGAAAATGCAAACAGCCAGCACTTAACCTCAGTCAATTCTTTCCAGCCTATCCTACCCACATACCGGGGACGCATGGAGCTGGAGGCTCACAAACACTCCTTGGGCAAAAACATCAGGTTCCATCTCACTCTGGATGACTAAACATTCTCAAAATCCTTTGCACATAAGCACTGGACCCAGAACTGGTGGGCTGCCAGGCAGACCAGACACCAATTTCCTGCTGTGCAGCTCTCACCAAGGGAAGCTTCTGTCAACAAAGGATGCAGGTAATGATACCGTCCACCAGCCCACGCTGCTCCCAACAGTGGCCTGATATAATTACAGCTAAGACCAGCCTGTGCTGGATGGAGCCACTAATTAATGTCCCCTCCCTCATCAGGGCCATGGAGTGCTCATGAAGATGATGGAGTTGGCATTCTGGGGGAACTGAAGCACTCCTAGTACACAACAGCCTGCACAGAGGGAAGACTTTCCCAGCTGTTTCAGACTTTCCCACTCACATGCCAATCCATATCTCACAGCATTTGCCACACCAGTGTAGACCACTACCACCCTGAACCCCGCTAATATTGCTAAGGTTCGATTTACAAAGAAAGTGAACCCAGAGTACAATCTCTGGCTGGCTGTGAACCCATGCTCCTCTGGCTCCTCTGCAGAACACGCCGTGCGGAGCAGGCACGATTAACAGCTAATGATGCTGGAGGCCAGAGGTCTCCTCTGCCAGTGACTGCAGAGGTCACACAGCCCCTGCACGCTGGAAGCTCTGTAGGCCTCATGGTCTGCTCACCCATCATGTAAGCCTGTGCTTGTTAGAAGAGGCATATAATTGTTTTTACTGTTCCTAGGCCATCAGTTTATAAACCTGTGGCTAACTACTTAAAAGCACAGTTGCATCAATTTCATGCCTCACATGCTGTGTAATAGCACGGAAGGACACGGTATCTCTAAGACTAAACCCACTCTTTGCTAAGCTAACCATTTACACCAGCATTTTAATTTCACCTAGCACTGCAACCACGTTGATACAGATTTGGCATCCCTTCCATTTCCTTCCAACCTGGAATCCTCCCTGCAAGATGCTACCAGGCTGCTACAACACTTACCTTGAGCAGAAGGAGCCAGGAAAGGGAAGGAAAAACCTTACCTCTCCTACATGCCCTTATTGCATATGCAACAAATCCAGGCAGCTTGCAATCACAAGCTGCTTCCACATGACAGAATACTCCCAAGAAATGGAGTTGAGGCTCGGTCAGAAGAAGTTTGGTGCCTCGTCACAAAATAACTGCCCCACAATTGGCATTAGCTGGTCTCTGCTGCAGTCTCAGCAGAACAACAACCCAGGAAACAAGCAGTGTTGGAGAGTGCACTGCACACTCACCTCTTGAGAAGGGACAGTGCCCTTCTTGCTCAGGGAAAGTAGATTATTTCCAATGCCACTGCCAAGACTATGTCAGGTAGACACCAGGTTCCAGTCTCAATGAGCTCCTACCCAGCACTTCTACATATGAATAGTGTCCATACAAAGGCAATTCCTCACGGCTGTGGCTGCAGCACAAACAGAATGCCAATCGGTTTGGTCCTGACAGCAAATCCATCTGGAGGGTATGCAGCACTCTCCTCCATGCCTCTCCTCCTGGCCAGCAGGACCCTGAGCCACTAACCCATGTTCTTCCACCACCCTGAGACTCTGCCTGGGAACTAACAGCGGTCAAAACTGGCTGGCCGCTCAGCTGACACAGCCCACCACTTTGCAGCACCTGTGGCGAAGCCAGTAGCTTTCCAGTACTTATTCCAGTTGAGTGAGGAGAAAGGGGGTCAAGCTCTGCAAGTAGATTTGAGATCTGCTCCACAAATCTCACCCCTACTGAGTCCAGTCAATGTCCAACACGGTCCTTCTCCTGTAACAGAGAGCCGAGGCCTTGGTACCGGCATCAGGGAAAGAAAGTCTCAGCAAGATCTTGTAATGAACTGCTCTCATCTTCCTCCTCTTTCTTCTTTGTCAGTCTGCATCCCAGCGTAGGAGCTTGGGGCTGCCTGGCGAGCCCACAGCATCCTCCCCGCCTCCCGCAGTCGCTGGCTAGCTCTGCGCCTCGGCTCTCGGCCTCGCCAGAGGCTCACGGCCAGTGGAGGAATCTCCCTCTTTGAAAGCCCAGACCCTGAAGAACTTCCTCCCTCAGTGTTTGCCAGAGATGCTGTTTGCCAAGCCTCAGCTGTGCTAAGACATATTTATTTAACCAGACTTTAGTCTCACAGGGTAAACCCTGCAAGTTTCCTCCAGTGAGTGCCTTACCTTTGTTCTAATATTCCTTTAAGCAGTCGCACCACGGTGCTCACACATATGGGCACCGTGTAGCTATGAAGAAATCAGAAAGCAGATCCCCATGATAAATGAATCGGTGCATTTGGAGTGTCAGTGACAAAGTAGAAATTAATCTCCAGAGTTCCTAGTTCCCTGCCATGAGCAGGCAGCTCTCAAAACCAGAATACCTGTTGGCACACAGCAGACTTCAGTAATGTGCCCGCACAACTTTTTCATCTCAGTTAGTCTGGGAAGAGGCACTAACAAAATATAAAAATCCTGACCTGTCCTAAGATGGGTGTTCAAGGCCTTTCCACTGGATAAGGCATTTGTTGTGGGGCTATTAGCACCCCAAAGCACTGCCAGGGACATTTGAGTCACTTTGGTTTGATGTATGCTGTAGGTATTTTTTGGTTATGTGCAATTTGTTCTGTTACATTCCGGGTATTGGCTATTTTGTGGAGCAGCTGTGCTGACTAATGGATCACAGCACTTCTGTGCCATACAGTTATTGCACAGAAAAGCCTCTCTGTCTCTCTCATCCTTCAGGAGTCCAACAGTTGCTGTCCTTGGGTTTGGAATAAGAAGGGGCAGGAGTATGCCTGGCAGCAACAAAAAACATTAATTCAAAAAGCTATGAAGAGAGTTTTGTTTTCCCTTTTCTCTGTACTGGTGTTAATAGCTTTGCAAAGCAGAGAAGTTCACCCGATGACTTCTTGGCTACTTCCCCAGATGGTGCCTTCAAAGCTGGTTTGACAGCAGAAAAGATGCTTTTCAAAAACTCACCAGACGCATTGTCAGAACACCCTGGAAAGTGCTTTCACGTGGAAGTCCCCTGGTTTGCATACCCCACCAACAGAGCGCAAGGAACTGAAAGAGTCTTTCTGGT